TCTTTCACTTGCTGTTTTATATTGTTACTTATTTTGCAGTAAAACTTAAGTTCACATTTATCAAAGCACTTAGTCCACATTTTGTCACAATATACGTGTACCCCTGAGAAACATGAATTTTGCTCTCTCCATATTAAAAACTACTCTCCAGAATCAAACGATAAATAGCACAAAAGATTGAAGTACTGCACTGATGGAATGGCAAGTCTGTAAGTGGAACATGACAACCCACTTCTAGACTCTTCTGTCCAACATAGGAAGATGTAGGCATCACTGGAGATGCACAGGAGATGTCGAAGAGTCTACCTCTGGCAGAGCACTGCTCCATTGTAACGGCCTGCTACCATGTGCATGCAGCAACGTTGCTAACAGCATCAAATTCTGGGATTTCTGTTGGAGAATACACTTAGCTGTCCACAATTGTCACAAGGAGATTTCAAATGGAGATGAAGTGCAAGAAAACACAGTTAAAAATAGGTCACTTTATTCTTCCCTAAGAAGAGAATAAATAGATGTGTAATAAAAGAGTTGAATTTATACATTTTTATGAAACACTTAACAACTCATAATACCCATAGGGTGTAGTCTTCCTGTCTTATTTTTCAAATTATTCAAGCAGTAGCACTTTTCTAATACAGAAACAAAAGTCTGCTTTTGCACTTACCCTTCATAGTAACGAAAGGAATAACTAGTGCTACAACTTCCCACGATGAACATCTGCTTTATGAACACAAGTTCACAAGTTGCACACAAGGAAGTTCGCAGGGCTGGAATATCTTGGGAGCCTAGTCATGGAAAAGATCCAGCTGCATGCTTTTCAGCTGAATAAACTGCTCGTGGAGTTTTTTCTACCCATTGTTCCAAGGTTATTTGCTATGCAGTTGATAATCACAAAAGTGAGTTGAATGGCAAAAGAAAAACCAACCAAAAAAACTTCTTAACCTTAACTTCAAAAGAAGCATTGGCAAATACTAAAATTGACCTATTTTAATGTTAACTATTTAAAAATATATATCTCTTTCAACAATTTACTTAACCAGTAGTAGCAGGGGAGGAAGGAACTGATCTATACTGATCTATACTGATCTAATGTTAAGAATGTTTTGCTTGATGTGATTCAAGAGATCACCTTAGATCAAGGGCAATATTAAATACAACATCATTTGATCAATATACTGCTGATCTCCCAGAACTATCCAGCAGATATTTCTATTTGTCACTATTAGTATGATCCTTGAAATATGAACAATTTAGCCTCATGACATCAAAGTTTTTAATCACAAATATGATAAGGCACACCTATGTTACAATTAACTGTAATGTGAGCTTATTACTTAAAATTTTGGCTTGGTTTCTACTTTCTATGTTGCCAGCAAGAAACTTTCTCTTGACAGATATCTCTGAGAATGCTTTCTTTTGTACAGTGTTGGTTACCTTCTCAATTATCAAGAGAAAGAATTCATCTGCTTCCTTAAAGTAGAGCCAATGAGCCTGTCTAGTAATGGCCAATTATGAAAGGATTCACTTTTCACTCCATGATAAACTAGACATTTATGTCCTCATCATGATTATTCTTGTGAATAAAACATGCTGAGCAGCTCATGATGAATTGAAAAAATAGCAAAGAATTTGCTTTTTGTCCTCCAACGTCTTCAGGATTCTTCTTTGGTTTTCGTCCCTTATTTTTATTCAACCAAACTCATACTTAATGCAGCTGACAAATCACAGATAATATTTCATAATCTTACACACTGGTAAAATGTGGGAATAGATATGAAAAAAAAATTCCATGTCACCTAATAATTGTTACAAGCTTAGTCTCATTAAAACAATCGTTACATTAAGGCTAGCAAGTTTCTCCCATCTCTTAGCCTACGGGGGGTTTCTGCTGGATTTTCTTTCCACTTACTTGCTTTAAGAAATAAATAACTGTCTGTTTTCTCCACTATTTTAAGACACCTACCAAAGAGTTTCTTAAGATTTTGGGAGGTAATAAGAGAAGTGAACTGTATAGTTTGTCCACTTTAACCAGGTTTGCAAGTCTGAAAGATTCAACAGGAATCACCAAGTCATACTACACTAACCCACATCCTAACATATTGACATTAATATTACTGCTTGATTTTTTCAATACAATATTGACTGAAATTGGGCAAAACATAATTGGTAGTCTAACAAAAATCCCAGATGTGACAGGTGTGAGGTGCAATCAGTGTAAATCTCATTCAGGCATCATTCTGTGTATTTTGATGCATTAAAATAACTGCCTTCATCTTTATGTGCAGCAGGATTGAATTGCCCAGTGGACATTTGGAATTTAAACTACCAAAAATAACTCTGCTCTCCAGACAGTGACATCTTTTCCAGAGGTTTGTTGAGGGAAGCTTGAATTTGTGCTTAGGACTTCATTGGAGCCCTCCTAGTAAAAGTGCCTTGGGGACCTTTGAATTTATTTTGCCATAACATGCGTGTGCATGTATGCAGAGGAAGCATCACTAGTCACAGGTAAGACAGACAAATCAAATAGCAGCATCCCCCATCAGCTTTTATATTATCTGCCCCACTTTGTGCCAATTTCCTCTAGCTTCCCCAACACCTTTTGCTTTGCTGTTCTTCCTTAAGACGTGGGACGGGGATTTGTCAAAGTCAATGAGCACTTTATTACAGTGAGAGTGCTCAGTAATGAACAATTCAGCAATTTAATGAGATTCTGTAGATCTGTCTCCAACCTGTCCATCAAGTTTCACTTCTATAAAGCACCCTGACACTAATCCTCTGGCATACCCAATCTTCACCCTGGGCTGAATATTAGATTCTTCCATGGTATATTGCATTACCACTATAACCTTAGCAAAAATGATGAACTTAACTACACTTGAGGCAATACAGTCGGTCTGATTTGATTTTCTTCTATCGGGTTGACTATGAGGGAATTACTTATTTACTAAGATAAAGCAAAACCAGTTTCTTATTGCCTTCTGAATGCCTAAATTGGTAAATACGTATGTATGTCTTTTAATTCATTCTAGAGACCTGGAATACTTGTAAATACATATTTATTCCTGGGCGTACAGACTGAATTAAAAGATGCACACGTTTTGCCTACAGCAGAAAACTAGTTTAAAAAATTCTTCATAACAGCATTAGTAACCTTTAGAGAGGCAATTATGATAACACTTAAATGGACAGTGTGGAGTTTGTTATCACTCAAAAAGCAGCGTATTACCTATGAGTATCTCTCCTCAGTATGACCCTCTGACAGAAACATTAGCTTTTCCTCACAGAGTGCCCACTGACTGGAGTGTACACAATTAAGAAAGCCATTTCTGAATTCTTCCTGCAGGATAGGATAATGACACAAGATTTAAAAACCCAAATTCCAAAACTGTTTCAGCAGGTTGCACAGTGTACCTGGACACAACCCTGTGCATGCTTGTTCATTACAGAGCTGGCATTAAATAATACCTGAATGGTTTTCTGCAGCTACTTTTCTAGCAAAAGTACCTACAAGCATATAGCTGGGAGATTTCAGTGAATCTGCAGAAAAACAAAGCAAGTCAGTCAATCAGACATGCCTCCTATACAAACTTGTACATCAAAACCTTTTATGAGAAATAGAATATGGGCTAGGACTCCAGAGTACCCTGCCTAAAAACAAAACAAAATAAAGCAACAACAACAAAAAAAACCATCACAGATAGTTTGCTGCAGTTTCTGTTGTACAGACATCCTCCAGAGATCTTCACAAGAAACACTCTAGCTCTATATTACTATCTGCAGAAAATATCTTCCTGAATACTCCATAATCTAGCCTCAAAGTTTTGGAAAATGCTGCGTCAGTCATCAGACTGAAGGATTAAGGTGCACCTGCACACTGTCTTTGTGGTTTGAAGAGCTTAACGATACATTTTCATTTTTTAAGAATATTTTCTTCCTGCATGAAATTATTCATCCATGGAAGGTGAATTGCCCTACAGAATGAACACACATTCTACACTCTGAAAAAACAATGGCATATTCACAAAATTATATAGTTAAATAATCCAAAAGATAAGTAGATGAATAAGAGAGATTAAAATACAAATCAATAGAAGGACTCTCAGTCTTCTCTGATGGACCAAGATAACCAGCTTCCTAAAAGAAAGCACAGGTTTCTTTCAAGCAAATGACATTCTACCTTAAAATACCCTGAAATGATTTCCTTCTATAAAACAGCAAAAAGAAAACAGAAGAAGTGTTTGGGTAACAAACGTTGTAGAGATTTACTTCCACTTAATCACAAGCTGCAATTTTTACAGGCATCTCATAGGAGTGTTTCCAGTGACATGTTTAGTTTTAGTTTTTGTATTTCTCTTTACACGATAGATGTTTTTTCCCCTCACACTGGAGTATACAACACAATGTTTTAATATTGTTAACATTGTATGGTTGGCAACCTGGTGCTTTTCTGGATCCAACTTAATTTAAAGGAAATGTTTGCCATCAAGAGTTTCTTGCTACAAAGCTTCCACCAAAGCCTCCACTCATCTTTGAGTAGAGCAGTCCAGTTTCCTTCAGGCAAAGTCAGTTGCAGTAAAGGATTTCAGGCACTAGGAATTTGAAGTAATGCAGCTAAGCTTGTCTGAAGCAAATGGGACAGACTGCAGCAGCAGATTTGCTACCAGCCTTGCGGCACTAGCCCTGCCAGAGACAATGACAATTGAGTCAGATGCATCAGCCACCTCTTCTCATCTGTCAAAGGTGGGTCTGGAAGAAAATCTCTGGCCACATCCAAATAACACAAGTTAACCAATTAAAAAAAAGTTTTCTTTCAAACAAACTAATTGCATTAATGCAATACATTTTTGTTTAATTAATTTTAAAATTTCCTGCAGTTGTTATTCGCAGCTTTTTCTCAACGTTTCTTCTCACTTGAGATTGCTTCAGGGATCCAAAACAACAATGCATTGCAATAGTTTAAGAGAGTATCACACATTTTGCTCGTTCACCAGTCTTCTTACCTGCCAGATTTGTTCTTCACTGAGTGAAGTGAGTCTATCACTTTTAAAAACCTCTCGAAGGAGACAGTATGGGAGTGCCAGAACTTCTTCAGGATGACTCTTCAATAGCTCAGAGAGATGTTTTACTAAGAAGTCAACCACTGCATTCTCCAACAAAGTGAGGTTGAAGAGGTCCGCAAGCTTATACAGGTCCAAGTAATTAAAACTATTTAATTCCTAGATGGGTGAAGCAAACAAAATACATCTCAGAAGAAAAAAAAAAAAGAGAGGAAAAAAACCCCAAGGTCTCAAATAATAAAAAAAGGCTGTTCTTTTGGAAGCTGAGGAAAAAGAAGGTAATACAATTAACATAGCTTCATTCAAAACGTATGTGCAAATGTTACCAGGGCATATGCAAATATATACAATGCTAGTCATTTATATTACAACTGCAACAGTTACATATGCATACAGCATCTATAAGAAATATAGATTCGTATATAAAATAATACACCAGCATGGTTTATAACAAAAGATCACAGGAGTTAAGAAGTGTATTTTTAACTGCAGTAGTTTGCTACAAAGCAATTGTTTGCTCAGTATTTACCATTCAGATTGATCTAGAGCACCTGTGCAGTACAAATTTTAGTTCCATGAAACCTCACAAAATTCAAGATGGTGAACTACATTTTATTATGCATAAGTTTATCTTCAATGAACAAATAGTCCTTTCTTTTTCAAACCAATGACAGCAACCTATAGTGGATGTTGGACTCCTATTCTTTGTCCCCTTCCTTCTCACAGCAGCAAGCCTGCAGAGACAAAAGCTACAGACTGGGCAAGATGTTTTCTTCATCCTCGTACCAGGTAATTTATATTTATAGACTAATGTTTCTGTCTTGGCACCCCCTGTAAATTAGTGTCAGCTGCACTAGACCACAGGCTCTTCAGAATTCACACAGGCTGGAGAAAAGCACTTAGGCCATTTGGTAAAGAAGCTTGTTTATCCAGTCTCTCTGTTCTTGCTGTATGCTCACATGTCTCTTCTTCTCCCCTTCACAGCCCCAGTTTTCACCTTCCAATTTCCTGCATTGCTCCCTCTCAGCAGCCTTCTCCTTGACCAGCTCCAGGTGTGAAAGTGACAAGAACTGTTGTCAGTTCCACTCCACGGGTTCGTTAACACTGGGACTAGAGCAGGGAAGAGAAACAGACTGAATTAAGGCAATTTCACTTTCGCTGCTCTGCTGGATGGGATGGCAGAACCAAATGAAACTGACAAGAAATCTTGTAAATGTCAAATGAGCTGCACGGCTGGCAGATCGAGCAGAGCAACAGGGAAGATGGGAAAGTGCGAAGAGGGTTTTTTTGGAAGGTTTTATGGGCTACATCTCGAACGTGTGAATTGGGTGGCTGTCCCAATGACTGTGGAGCTGTTTATGCATATGCAATGGAGAGTGAAGAAAGAATTTTTTTCACCTGCTTGGAGGAGTCAGTGCTGGAGAAAACTGAATCAAATTCCTTCGGAGGTGCCTATTTGCTGCATTACCTCCCAACCTGAACACCCACCTTCACTGGCAGGGATGTAGATTAAAGACAAATCCCATTCATTATCTACTTAAACTGTTGGATAGAAGCTTCTCTTCCTTTTCTTGAAAGAACAAAGAGAAGGTGTATAAATTGCCAGAATAAACACTAACAGCCATCAGCCCCAAAGACTGAAATTCTGAACAGCTCCATAATGTAACCTGCTCTTCACATTAACACAGAGGAGGCAAGAATAAATCTCCCATAGCTGCAGAAAAACAAAGAAAAAGGAAGGAATTCTGTATGAAAAGTATCTGGTCAGTGTGCTTCCTCCATGATTTAATATCTGCAGATCACAGATGGTTCCTCACAGCACCATGCAGCGGTGGCACCAACATCACACAGCATAATCAAAGTACATCTCTCAGCATTTAACAGACGGCAACCACGCTTTTATTGTGGCTGGTTAGGAAGCATATTTGCTCAAAAAGCTCCTTGATTGAATGAATGTCAAACATTCTGAAAGAAATTTAGAACAACTTGATGTATTATATTGAGCTCTTTTGTCAACAGCTATTTCTGGGGAGGATAAAAATAAATACATAATCAAGAATTAGGATCTGAGGGATGATAACATCCCAACTCAGTGGAGAAGGACAGATGACTTTAAAAAATGGTCTTCAGAAGAGGGCACTACTGGAGGTAACATAATATTTTCTCATTATTAAAGACTAATGTGGCGCACAAATGTAATTTTACCCTAAAAAAATCTTCACATTTTCAGTGAAATCTGGAAAACACTGTTACACCTGCATTTTTTTGTTTTGGTATTTTTGATGATCCCTCAGGCTCCTCCATCCCTCAGAATGACACCAACTGAAGTTTTTGATGAAAACTGTCATACAGCAGAGAGGTTGAACTCTGGATAAAAAACAAACTCTCCTCAGCTCTTTGTTTATCATATTATTTATTTATTATGGGTTTTATTTCTTTACTTATTTTTATTGGTTGGCTGGCAGATCTTCAATGCTTTGTCTAACATAATGCGTTAGTGACCTGCTGGACTCATGTTTACTGCTTGATGAATATTGCAAGTACATTTTGTCAAAGCTGATCTTCACCTGTAATCAAAAACATCTATTTGTGTTTTTCATAAAGTTTGAATTGATCCATGGGTTTGTATTTCACAGTATAAGCAGCAGTGCATTAGCTTTTACAAATGAAAATTATTAGAACGTCATACTAATTTTCCAATCAAAATTATACAGTACTGTATACTGCTGTCTCTGTGATTATATCAAAAGGCAAAAAAAGTCATGCTGAGACTGCAAGATGTATCCCACAGATCAGATAACCAAGCTCTTGAGCTCTTGATGTCTGGTAAGGCTTTCAAGCATATCAGACTAAAAAGCACTATGCAAGTTAGTTGCAAAAAAATACAGCTTATCTTCTGGCTTTTTTCTTAAAAAAAAAAAAAAAAAAAAAAAAAGGAACCAACAAAACAATCACTATTAACTTAGGCTGACTAGCTTCTGATGAACATGTTTTCAACCTAACTTAACTGAATGAAAAATGTGTTAAATAAATGAAAAATGAAACAGTTACTAAATAGAAAATTTACTCCTGGTTATAAGTAAGAGTTACAGCTGTTTCTGGTTTCCATACATTTTATTATATTATGCTAAAGTTGTGCAAATCTTTCTAAATCTTTCTTCTGGAACTATATCACAGTATATGTATTAAAAAAAAAAAAAAAAAAAAAAAAGAAGAAGGGCATTGTAGGTTTGCATCTTGTTTATAAAAACTTTTAAATGTAAGCCACTTATTTTTTTGAACCAAAGGATGAAATAGAAATGCAATGAAAAGAGTTGAAAACTCTTTGGAAACACAAAGAATTGAAAAAAATTAGGGAAAGGTAGCAATCCCCTCTCTTCTAATGTGATATATTTTACACTGATGAAACATTCAGACAAGAAAATATGCACAAGATAATTAAAAAAAAAAAAAAAAAACAGATCTTAAACTAACAGTTGAAATGGTTCTAAAATCTCAGAGTGAAGTCAAATCAATTCAACCAGGTGGAGGAAAGAGGGAATCCAGAAACAGACATATAACACATATCAACACTTGTCTACACAGCAAGTGTTGGTGCAAGGGTTTTGGTTTTTATGATGTGTAACTTTCTGTGATGATGGTAACCTGTTAGGTGAATCCCATTCCTCCCTGTCCATAAAAGGGCAATTTTTGGCAGCAGTCAAGCTAACTAAATGAAACAGGCTTTAAACTGAAGGACCTGGGGGGTTGGATCCAAAATGGTCATGTTCACACCATTGTAACCAACTGGGGAATAACCATGCCAACCAGATCAATGACAGATGTTCCTTCACTGCCTTCCATGACATGAGCCAGAAGGCCAGTCACTTCAAGTCTATGTATAGTATGTGGAATCCTCAAGCAACCCTCTAGGGAAACTGAATATTAACTGAGTTAACTGAATAATAAACATAAAGAATTAGAGATCTGTGTGTGATTGCAGCCATGATCTCATTGCAATCATGGAGACATGGTGGGACAGTTCATGGCTGGAATGCTGTAATGGATTGCTACGTACTTTCTAAGAAAGAAGACCATCAAAGCAAGCCAGTGGAATTCTCTTTATGTGAGAGAACAACTGGAATGCATGGAGCTCTGCCTAAAGAATGATAAGGAATGAGTGGAGAGCTTCTGGGTGAGAACATGAGGAAAAAATTTCTTTACTTTGAATGTTACAGAGCATGGAAACAAGCTGCCCAGAGAGGCTGTGGAGTCTCCTTCTCCAGAGACATTCAAAACCCTCCTGGACACTTTCTCATGTAACTTATTCCAGGGAACCTGCTTTAGCAGAGAAATTGGATTAGATGATCTCCAGAGGTCGTATAACCACTAAGATTCTGTGATTCTGCAATAAATTGGCCACATTTTTTATCAGCATCTTCTACAGTGAGAAACTACCTTTGATTCTATGCAGTCTACTCACTCTATTTTCCTTCTTCAACATGCCAGAAATAAGAGACTCTGCTGTTCTACATTACTGGTCTTCTGTTTCAGCTTTTAGATGTCAAGCCAATTTAACAATCAGCTGACATTTAAAGCATTTGTAAAAGAAGATCACTTTTCCAAACAAACATAATCTGAAAGACAATATTAAATATACAAAATAAATGGTGTGACATTGTCTGTGTGATAATTCAGAGGTTTATTTTGATATAGAGAAGTGATAAATTGTCAAACAAGAAAAAAATATAAACGTATTTAAATTACTTCCAAATCCATTCTTATTCATTTTTACTTTAAAGAGTAATTGCATTGCACAAGCCACAGAAAAGGATGCAAGTAACAGATTGATAAATTAGAGTTAATCATAACCAAGTACACAGTAGAGTACAATATACCTCTGTTCATGTACTCTGTGTTATAAATAGCAGAAAAAGCACAAGGAGAACTAAAGGGAAAGAATGCATTTCTTTATGACCTTATTTGAAAGATAAACTCCTTGGGGAAATACAATTTATTCAGATTATCAAGACCCTGCTGTGCAAATCTACAGTCTGGGAGCACACTACAGAGATCAAAAAATATTTACTTTATTCTGTTGGGTATAAAAGCTTTTAATGAATGCATAATTAAGACAGAAAAAGTATATACAGCTTTAGAAATTCCACTGCCAAGCCAAG